TCCTCCCTCGCTCCTGTCCTCTGTGCTCTCAGTATTGATTCTGTCTCTTCTCACAGGAAGCGTGTCAGGTTTCTGTGATGGTCAGGACTTTGTTCAGACTCTCGTCTGTCCCGTCTCTCTCGTCCCTCCCATCTCTCTCTCCCCCATCTCTCCTGTCTCTCTCTCTCCTGTCTCTCTCTCTCCTGTCTCTCTCTCTCCTGTCTCTCTCTCTCTCCTGTCTCTCTTGTCTCTCTTGTCACTCCCGTCCCCCGTTGCTGTTTTTAAATTTTGAAACGTTGATGTAAATGTCCTGGTCTCCCTCTGCTCCATGTGGGAGGGCATCTGACACACAGGAGGACGGGAGGGCATCTGACACACCTGAGGACGGGAGGGCATCTGACACACAGGAGGACGGGAGGGCATCTGACACACAGGAGGACGGGAGGGCATCTGACACACAGCAGGACGGGAGGGCATCTGACACACGGGAGTTGATGGTCGACTCTCATCAGCTCTAATCAGTCGCGCCGGATCCGTTAGCGTTAGCCTGGTGTCAGCGCCGCAGGAGGCTAATGACCGGGACTTCCTGTCTGCTGCAGCCACTTCCTGTCTGCCCGCTCCCCAGACGCTTCATCAGCCCCTCACTGAGACCCGGGATTTTCACAGCCGCGGTCGCACGCAAACTTTACTTTACTGTTCCGCGTTAAAGAGACATTTCAGAGCTTTTGAACGTGTGATCACATCAAACACCTGCCTGAAGAGCTTTTAGACTCATGCATGTTTGACTCATCTAGGGATCTCTCCTTGGCCCTATTCAAGCCCTCCTTGTGGTTAAGTTTGTATTTATACACAGCTTTTCACAGACGTATGTCACAAAGACTCTTTACACTAGAGATTTGCGCGGGACAGAATTTTCAGTCACTCCCGTCCACACTCGCAAAGAATTGTGATTTTCATTCCCACTCCCGCCCACATCTGCGATATTTTGTCCCGCTCCTGCAGGCAAATCCCACAAGATGGGAAACACGGAGAAGCGGAAAGTAACTGTGTAAAATGTGCAGGAGATTAGAGCACGTCCACAAGTTTAGTCTGCTAAAAAATTGTTTTATTAATGCCAAAAAAATATCCAGCACAACTGGTGTATGATAGGTAGACATGTAACAATATTCAAAATATTGTGATTAGTGCTGTCATGCGATTAAAAAAATTTAGAGATTAATTAATTATGATCCGTAATTAATTAATCTAATTAATCTCATTTTAATCTCACCTAAAAATTGCTGAGAAAAGCCTTCAATTTGAGGTATTTTCATTTAAATTCATTATTACATTATTGTGGCAGATCAAAAGACTGATACAGAACAAAAAAAAGTGACTTTATAAAGTCATTTATTGTTAAACAAATCTCTCCAAATTGGCTGTTGAGCCCAAGTCTCCATGAATAAGAAACTGTTTGCTGTAAAGTAGCAAAGACGAGGAAATCTGAACATAATAACTTTTGTCTACTTAAAGACAATAAAAAGTCCAGTCTTTCTTTAACCATATTAAAAATATTATTGATAGAGAAATGCTTTATATATGAGATCACTGGTTTTAGTCCTGGTTTAGACCTGCTTTAGTCCTACTTTAGTCCTAGTTTAGTCCTGGAATGGATTAATCATGTTTTAGTCCTGGTGTTAGTTCTGGTTTAGTCCTGGTTTAGACCTGGTTTAGACCTGGTTTTAGACCTGGTTTTAGTACTGGTTTTAGTTCTGGTTTTAGTTCTGGTTTAGTTCTGGTTCAGTCCTGGTTTAGTTCTGGTTTAGTCCTGGTTTAGTCCTGGAGTGGATTAGTCCTGGTTTTAGTGTTGGTGTTAGTTCTGGTTTAGAGGCGCACAGGAGGAAGTGCGGTTTACGCAGCGTACGCGAGAAAACATGGTCCACACGAGGCGCACGAGAGCACGTCGGTGTCCGCGCAGTAACTACGGAAGGAAACGTGGTCCACGCGTTCTCAGGTTAATGAAGGTGTGGGTTTGTGTGTGTTTTTGTGTGTGTGTGTGTTTGTGTGTGTTTGTGTGCGTGTCCCCTCATGTGGCAGGTCACTATAGGACAGTAGTGCAGACATCATGAGCCTATGCAGGTTTTCACCAGTGACATTTAAGTTGTAGGCGATTTTATATTAGTTATTTTCTTTTATATTTCACGTCGGGAGAATAATTTCCAAGACACGAATGTGTTTTTACCTGTGCACTGCTGCCTCTGTTCTACTGGCTCTACGACCTCGTCCATTGTGACTGACGCCGCCAACATGAACATGACGTTTATATCGCTCTTACTGCGCGCGTTTTGTGTGGGTTTCCGGCAATGAGTGGAATTACCGAAATAAAAAAATGTATAAATGTGTTTTTGTGTGTGTGTGTGTGTGTGTTGTTGTCCCAACAACACATAAAAACAGGTTTTATTATAAAGCAACTCGCAGACAGAAACACTAAAATTAGAGATTAAAAATTAGATTAACGTGATTAAAAAACATAAGGCGCTAAATATGACTGTAATTAATTAATCACAATTAACGTGATAATTTGACACCCCTAATTGTGATATTGTACTGTCAAAAGTCTCACAATAATATAGTCGACCATCACAATATATCGAATCACAAGTTTATTTGCTTAAATTAATTGTTATGGTGCAGCAATAACTAAAAAACTGAGGGAACTACATAGACCATGATCCTTTGCTCTGTTTCGGTCCAATCTACATGTTGAAATAACGGTTATGAAGCACTTTTTATTCTTAATTCTTTGGATTTGGATGATGAGAGAAAAGAAACATATTCACAATTTTGTTAGCCTACAGAAAATATCGCAATAACTATGAGATGTGAGATGCATATCATGAAAATATCGTATCGAGAGGACTGGATATCGTTACATCCCTAATGATATGGATACAGGCATCATTTGTATATTTGACTTTACACTCAGATTTAGTTTGTGGGAGTACAGTTTATCATGTCACCCGTCGTTCCGTGTTGTGCAGTCCCGCTCCCGCTCACTCCCACAATGAGCTTTCTGAATGTGTCCCGCGCTGCACTGTTTTGCGTTGGGCCCCACAGGAAGGCTCTAAATTACAGATCATTGTTCATTCACACCACACCCACACCACTAGGCAAAGTGGGATTAGCAGTACGAGCCTGTACATGACTCCGCCCACAAGCCCAGATTAACCTGATGTGATGTGCAGGAGTTTCATTAGCGGGTGGCTGCACGCTGATTGTGTTGTGATAATGCTCTGAAGGGGGAGTGACTTAACACAAAGAGCTAGTGGAGAGAGGACTGAGAGCATCAAAAATAGAAGTGGAACTTCTACAACATGTTGATAGTGTTCTGTGAACACAGCATTCTGAAAACATGGACGTGTTTGCACTTAATATCCACAGAAATGTACTGGCTCTTTTTAAGGCCAGGGACCCCAAACTGATGAAGAGCTGGAGCAGGGACCCCGACTATATATATATATATATATATATATATATATATATATATATATATATATATAATATATATATATATATATATATATGTGTGTGTGTGTGTGTATATGTATGTATGTATATATGTATATATGTATGTATATACATTCAGCACTAGGGGAATATTCCATCGAAGTGTCTTAACAAGTCCAAAACTATCTTAAAATCCTGAGCTCAAACTAGCTCCATCTCCAGTTTAAACCTTAAGTCGTTCCATGACAGAAATAATCCTGAGTCTGACCAGAGCCACTCAGACCTGAAGTTTAAGCTGCACTTTGTGCTCACGGTGACTCTGAGAAGAACAGAGCAACAGAGCAATGACATCACAAAAATGAACTCAAAATGTGACTTTTTAAAATGATCTGATTAAACGAAAGATGAGCCACAACAAGAAATCCTGATCTGATCTGAGGAGTGAGAGGAAAGAAACAACTCCCCCCTTCTCTCCTGTTCTCTCCCTCCTCTCCTGTTCTCCTCCTCCTCTCCTGTTCTCCTCCTCCTCTCCTGTTCTCCTCCTCCTCTCCTGTTCTCCTCCTTCTCTCCTGTTCTCTCCCTCCTCTCCTGTTCTCCTCCTCCTCTCTCGTTCTCCTCCTCCTCTTTTATTCTCCTCCTCCTCTCCTGTTCTCCTCCTCCTCTGGGGTTGTGGAATAAAGTTCCCTGACCTCTTCCCAATGTGCAGTAGTACGTGTGGAGCTTAAGTTTTTTACTGTGTGTAAAAGTGAAGCTGTAAGAGAACTCTTTACATGTAGCCAAGAAGAAACGATCAAATCCACATGACGTGTTTGCAGTTTGACAGGGAGCGAGAGACGAGACAGACGTGATGAAGGAGCAAACAGACAGAACCCACTGAAAACCACTTCATCCTCATCCTTCAGAAATGTAGAAATATAAGATAAAAAAAATAAATAAAAAATTCCAAGGTCCAAACTTCTTTCTCATGTCTTTAAATGTCTCTGAGCAGATGCACAGGACACATTTCTATAAACAACCTGTCCTCCTCCTCTTCACCTGTCCTCCTCCTCTTCACCTGTCCTCCTCCTCTTCACCTGTCCTCCTCTTCACTGTCTCCTCCTCCTCCTCTTCACTTGTCCTCCTCCTCTTCACCTGTCCTCCTCTTCACCTGTCCTCCTCCTCTTCACCTGTCCTCCTCTTCACCTGTCCTCTCTCCTCTTCACCTGTCCTCCTCTCTCACCTGTCCTCCTCTCTCACCTGTCCTCCTCCTCTTCACCTGTCCTCCTCCTCTTCACCTGTCCTCCTCCTCTTCACCTGTCCTCCTCCTTTTCACCTGTCCTCCTCCTCTTCACCTGTCCTCCTCTTCACCTGTCCTCCTCCTCTTCACCTGTCCTCCTCTTCACCTGTCCTCCTCTTCACCTGTCCTCCTCCTCTTCACCTGTCCTCCTCTTCACCTGTCCTCCTCTTCACCTGTCCTCCTCTTCACCTGTCCTCCTCCTCTTCACCTGTCCTCCTCCCCTGCCCCTGTCCTAACCCTCCATCTGTTCTTCTCTTAGTCATGTTCATCTGCTGCATGCCTGACGTCTTCAGGAAGTTGATGGTTGAATTCCGCTCGGCTGACCTGCCCCATGAGCAGTACGTCTTCTTCTACATTGACGTATTTGGGGACAGTTTGAACTCTGACCCCAAGACGCCCTGGGCCCAAGGGGACGAAGAGGACGCCATCGCCAAAGATGCTTTTCAGGTGAGGGAGGGGCTAGACTCACCTGAGGGGGAGGGGCTTTAGGTGAACCCTGGCTCACTGTTAGAAGGTCCCACGACTGTCTGAACTGTTGTACGTTGTAAATACAGGGTGTCTCAAAAAATAATTTCGGAGGCCAATACATTTGGCAATTCTTGTTGAAATAACCTCAAATTTTCACAGAATGTATAGAAACAGGTCAAGATTTTATATTGAATGTTTTATTTTTGTCATTCGGTGAATCTGGGTTTCCAAACTTGTTCTCCTTATGGACTTCTTGGGGCTTCACAAGAGTTTTTCACGAACTTGCTCGACCTTCTCTTCTGATGTTGATGTTAGTACCAGATCCTATAGCCCTGCAGAAGCAGCCAAACTCTTTAAATTTTTGGTACAAAGTCCAAATTTGTTTGCCAGTTGGTAAAGTTTTTTCTAAATTTTGCATTGAAGGCTGCACAGTCTTGGGTGAGTGTGTGCAGCAGATTCCAAGATACAACGTGAACGGCTCAACTCAACCTGAAAACAGAACAAACATAAAACATTCAATAGAAAGAAAAGAAAATCTTGATTTATTTGTTTCTATACATTCTGTGAAAATGTTTGTTTTTTTCTTCAAGAATTGCCAAAATTATTGGCCTGCGAAATTATGTCAAATTTTTTGGGACAGCCTGTACTTTGGATTCCTATGGCGCTTTGGAAGTTTCTCAAAGAATGTGCAAACCAAACCCAGTCTAGTCCTGATCTAGTCTGATCTCTTTTGATAAGCCTGGACAGTACGTGAGTGGGAGACTGCTTGTGTCCTTAGGCAAGACACTTCAGCCACCTGGCCTTGTATGCATGTGATGTGTGAATGCCGGTGCAGGTTGATGGTATCTTAGCACCAGAGAAGGAAGAAAGCACAGTGAGTCTGAGCGAGTGTCCAAACACGCTCTGTTTAAGAAACCTATTGACATTGCATTATTCATCCATCCTCTGTACTTTAGCCACAGTCCATAGAAGTACTCCAGACCAGGTCCTGGTTCAGTCCTGGTCCTGGTCTAATCGTGTTTATTCTGGTCTGTGGCTGACGTCAGAGTAAGTGGATTTGTGTCTGATCTAATATTCGGCTCCAAACGCCTCTGAAGCTCCTCCTCAAACTGAAGCACAGCACAGACATCTGCTGCTCTGATAAAACACCAAACTGAAGAGACACTTCACCTTTACTCAATCAGGAGGAGATACTGATGTAGACTGATCTTTTAGTATTTCAAGTGTGGTTACAGACGACCAAACAGAGGGTTTTGGTGAAATTGCAGAGACACAGAGACACAGGGAGCATTTGATTCAAAAGACCACTCAGCTCTGAATGAGACATGTTTGATTTGTCCCTCATCTCGTCCCTCTGGTCCGTCTGGTCCTTCAGGGGTCAGAGGTCAGAGCAGGTTTACTCTTCACATGATGAATGGATGTGTGAATGAAAGAGCTCACAAACAGAGAGAAGGAGAGTAGAAAAAAAAAAGAAAAATACAGGAAACAGTGCTGAGTGAAAGAGAATGCCTCTACTTATGTCAGCACAGAAAACTCCATCCAAACTGCACAAAGTGCTCATTTATTTTCATTTGTCTAACTGTAAAAAATGTGAAATTTAGATTTGGCCCTTGTTAAAAGTCTCGATACCTGATATTTAAAACCCTGAAAAACAGTTTGCAGTCGTCCAAAGTTATTCCTCTCTTACATCCTAAATATTCACCACGATGATTTTATAAGCACTTTTCACTCTCTCACAGACCAGAGCAGCAGTTTGCAGTAAAACTAACAACTAACAGCTCACAAGTAGCATGCTAACTGTGCATTTCCTGATTCTCGGACAATAAAACGCCCTGTTTAGACCTCAACTGCTGCTTATAAAATATATCTGTACATCTTGGGCAAAACACAAATACATGAAAATAGAATATTTTCTGACTTCAAACTGAAAAAAGAAGTTGATTAAATGTGAAAAAGTGAAATTAACTTCTGTTTTTGTTTCAGAACGTGAAGATCGTGACGTACAGAGAACCACAGAACCCCGAGTACAAAGAGTTCGTCCACAACCTGAAGGAGGACGCCCTGCACATGTTCAACTACACTGTAGAAGACACACTGGTGAGGACTAAACCTGGACCCAACCTGGACTAAACCTGGACTAAACCTGGACCCAACCTGGACTAAACCTGGACTAAACCAAGACCCAACCTGGACTAAACCTGGACTGGACTAAACCTGGACTAAACCTGGACTAAACCTGGACTAAACCTGGACTAAACCTGGACCCAACCTGGACTAAACCTGGACCAAACCTGGACTAAACCTGGACTAAACCTGGACTGGACTAACCTGGACTAAACCTGGACTAAACCTGGACTAAACCTGGACTAAACCTGGACCCAACCTGGACTAAACCTGGACTAAACCTGGACCCAACCTGGACTAAACCTGGACTAAACCTGGACCCTGGACTAAACCTGGACTAAAACCTGGACTAAACCTGGACTAAACCTGGACTAAACCTGGACCTGGAAACCTGGACCCAACCTACTAAACCTGGACTAAACCAGGACTGGACCTGGACTAAACCTGGACTAAACCTGGACCCAACCTGGAAACCTGGACTAAACCTGGACTAAACCTGGACTAAACCTGGACTAAACCTGGACTAAACCAACCTGGACTAAACACCTGGACTAAACCTGGACTAAACCTGGACTGGACTAACCTGGACTAAACCTGGACTAAACCTAAACCTGGACTAAACCTGGACTAACCTGGACTAAACCTGGACTAAACCTGGACTAACCTGGACCAAACCTGGACTAAACCTGGACTAAACCTGGACTAAACCTGGACTAAACCTGGACTAAACCTGGACCCAACCTGGACTAAACCTGGACTAAACCAGGACTAAACCTGGACTAAACCTGGACTAACCTGGACTAACCTGGACTAAACCTAAACCTGGACTAAACCTGGACTAAACCTGGACTAAACCTGGACCAAACCTGGACTAAACCTGGACTAACCTGGACTAAACCTGGACTAAACCTGGACTAAACCTGGACTAAACCTGGACTAAACCTGGACTAAACCTGGACTAAAACCTGGACCAAACCAGGACTAAACCTGGACTAAACCTGGACTAAACCAGGACTAAACCTGGACTAAACCTGGACTAAACTACCTGGACTAAACTGGACTAAACCTGGACTAAACCTGGACTAAACCTGGACTAAACCTGGACTAAACCTGGACTAACCTGGACTAAACCTGGACCCAACCTGGACTAAACCTAAACCAGGACTAAACCTGGACTAAACAGGAACTAAACCTGGACTAGGACCAAACCTGGACTAAACCTGGACTAAACCTGAACTGGACTAACCTGGACTAAACCTGGACTAAACCTGGACTAAACCTGGACTAAACCTGGACTAAACCTGGACTAAAACTGGACTAAACCTGGACTAAACCTGGACCTAAACCTGGACTAAAACCTGGACCCAACCTGACTAACCTGGACAAACCGGGACTAAACCTGGACTAAACCAGGACTAAACAGGACTAAAACTGGACTAAACCGGACTAAAACCAGGACTAAACCTGGACTAAACCTGGACTAAACCTGGACTAAAACCTGGACTAAACCTGGACTAAACCTGGACTAAACCTGGACTAGGACCTGGAAAAACCAGGACTAAACCTGGACTAAAACCTGGACTAAACCTGGACTAAACCTGGACTAAACCTGGACTAAACCAGGAAAACCTGGACTAAACCCTGGACTAAACTGGAAACTGGAGACCTGGAAACCTGGACTAAACCTGGACTAAACCAGGACTAAACCTGGACTAAACCTGGACTAAACCTGGACTAAACCTGGACTAACCTGAACTAAAACCTGGACTAAACCAGGACTAAACCTGGGACTAAACCTGGACTAAACCTGGAGGACTAAAACCTGGACTAAACCGGACTAAACCTGGACTAAACCTGGAGGACTAAACCTGGAACTAAACCACCTAACCAGGACTAAACCAGGACTAAACCTAAACCTGGACTAAACCTGGACTAAACAGGACTAAACCTGGACTAAACTGGACTAAACTGGACTAGGACTAAACCTGGACTAAACCAGGACTAAACCTGGACTAAACCTGGACTAAACCTGGACTAAACCTGGACTAAACCTGGACCTAAACCAGGACTAAAACCTGGACTAACCACTGGACTGGACCAGGACTAAACCTGGACCCCTGGACTAAACCTGGACTGGACTGGAAAACCTGGACTAAACCCACCCTGGACTAAACCTGGACTAAACCTGGACTAAACCATGGACTAAACCTGGACTAAACCTGGACTAAACCTGGACTAAACCTGACTAAACCTGGACTAAACCTGGACTAAAACCTGGACCCAAACCTGGACTAAACCTGGACTAAACCAGGACTAAACCTGGACTAAAACCTGGACTAAACCTGGACTAAACCTGGACCTGGACCCAACCTGGGACTAAACCTGGACTAAACCAGGACTGGACTAAACCTGGACCCACTAAACCTGGACTAAACCTGGACTAAACCAGGACTAAACCTGGACTAAACCTGGACTAGACTAAACCAGGACTAAACCTGGACTAACCTGGACTAAACCTGGACTAAACCTGGACTACTAAACCTGGACTAAACCTGGACTAAACCTAAACCTGGACTAAACCTGGACTAAACCTGGACTAAACCTGGACTAAACCTGGACCTGGACTAAACCTGGACTAAACCTGGACTAAACCTGGACTGGACAACCGAACCAGGACTAAACCTGGACTAAACCTGGACTAAACCTGGACCCAACCTGGAACTAAACCTGGACTAAACCTGGACTAAACCAGGAAACCAGGACTAAACCTGGACTAAACCTGGACTAAACCTGGGACTAAACCTGGACTAAAACCTGGACTAAACCTGGACCAAAACCTAAACTGGAAACAAAACCAGGACTAAACCTGGACTAAAACCTGGACTAAACCTGGACTAAACCTGGACCAAACCAGGACTAAACCTGGACTAAACCAGGACCAAACCTGGACTAAACCTGGACTAAACCAGGACCAAACCTGGACCCAACCAGGACTAAACCTGGACCAAACCAGGACTAAACCAGGACTAAACCAGGACCAAACCAGGACTAAACCTGGACTAAACCAGAACTAAACCTGGACTAAACCAGGACTAAACCTGGACTAGACCTGGACCGAACCAGGACTAAACCTGGACTAAACCTGGACTAAACCTGGACTAAACCTGGACTAAACCAGGACTAAACCAGGACTAAACCTGGACTAAACCAGGACTAAACCTGGACTAAACCTGGACTAAACCTGGACCCAACCTGGACTAAACCTGGACTAAACCTGGACTAGACCTGGACCGAACCAGGACTAAACCTGGACTAAACCTGGACTAAACCTGGACCCAACCTGGACTAAACCTGGACTAAACCTGGACCAAACCAGGACTAAACCTGGACTAAACCTGGACTAAACCAGGACTAAACCTGGACTAAACCTGGACTAAACCTGGACCAAACCAGGACTAAACCAGGACTAAACCAGGACTAAACCAGGACTAAACCTGGACTAAACCTGGACTAAACCTGGACCAAACCAGGACTAAACCTGGACTAAACCAGGACCAAACCTGGACTAAACCTGGACTAAACCAGGACCAAAACTGGAGTAAACCAGGACTAAACCTGGACCAAACCAGGACTAAACCAGGACTAAACCAGAACTAAACCTGGACTAAACCAGGACTAAACCTGGACTAAACCAGGACTAAACCTGGACTAAACCTGGACTAAACCAGGACTAAACCTGGACTAAACCAGGACTAAACCTGGACTAAACCTGGACTAAACCTGGACTAAACCTGGACCGAACCAGGACTAAACCAGGACTAAACCTGGACTAAACCTGGACTAAACCAGGACTAAACCTGGACTAAACCTGGACTAAACCTGGACCAAACCAGGACTAAACCTGGGCTAAACCAGGACTAAACCTGGACTAAACCTGGACTAAACCTGGACTAAACCTGGACTAAACCAGGACTAAACCTGGACTAAACCTGGACTAAACCTGGACCCAACCTGGACTAAACCTGGACTAAACCTGGACTAGACCTGGACCGAACCAGGACTAAACCTGGACTAAACCTGGACTAAACCTGGACCCAACCTGGACTAAACCTGGACTAAACCTGGACCAAACCAGGACTAAACCTGGACTAAACCAGGACTAAACCAGGACTAAACCTGGACTAAACCTGGACTAAACCTGGACCAAACCAGGACTAAACCAGGACTAAACCAGGACTAAACCTGGACTAAACCTGGACTAAACCTGGACCAAACCAGGACTAAACCTGGACTAAACCAGGACCAAACCTGGACTAAACCTGGACTAAACCAGGACCAAACCTGGACTAAACCAGGACTAAACCTGGACCAAACCAGGACTAACCAGGGACTAAACCAGGACTAAACCTGGACTAAACCAGGACTAAACCTGGACTAAACCAGGACTAAACCTGGACTAAACCAGGACTAAACCTGGACTAAACCTGGACTAAACCTGGAAAACCTGGACTAAACCAGGACTAAACCAGACTACTAAACCTGGACTAAACTGGACTAAACCAGGACTAAACCTGGACTAAACCTGGACTAAACCTGGACTAACAAACCAGGACTAAACCTGGGCTAAACCAGGACTAAACCTGGACTAAACCTGGACTAAACCAGGACTAAACCTGGACTAAACCTGGACTAAACCTGGACCAAACCAGGACTAAACCTGGGCCCAACCTGGACTAAACCAGGACTAAACCAGGACTAAACCTGGACTAAACCTGGACTAAACCTGGACCAAACCAGGACTAAACCTGGACTAAACCAGGACTAAACCTGGACTAAACCTGGACTAAACCTGGACTAAACCTGGACTAAACCTGGACTAAACCAGGACTAAACCTGGACTAAACCTGGACCAAACCTGGACTAAACCTGGACTAAACCAGGACCAAACCTGGACTAAACCAGGACTAAACCTGGACCAAACCAGGACTAAACCAGGACTAAACCAGGACCAAACCAGGACTAAACCTGGACTAAACCAGAACTAAACCTGGACTAAACCAGGACTAAACCTGGACTAAACCAGGACTAAACCTGGACTAAACCTGGACTGAACCAGGACTAAACCTGGACCGAACCAGGACTAAACCTGGACTAAACCTGGACTAAACCTGGACTAAACCTGGACCAAACCAGGACTAAACCTGGGCTAAACCAGGACTAAACCAGGACTAAACCTTGACTAAACCAGGACTAAACCAGGACCAGAAATGAGGACTAAACCAAAAGCAGAGCCCAGCAGTGAAGACTACAGTGGTGCTGTGTGGTTGGACCCCCTTGAAAACGAGATGGTGACACATCTCATGGGGCTTATCCTCCAAACAAATACATTCAAATTCAAATTGATGGACCACAGGTGCTGGGCCCAGTGTCACCTCTGGGAGCCGGGTCAGACCCTTGTGAGCTTGTGACTCACAACACGGCCGTCCAATCAGACTGGTTTGTTTCAGTGACACTAAGAATTATCATTTACAATCAAAATCACTTTTCTCTCTCCTCAGATGAACAGAGTTTAAAGCTCGACTCATTGATTCTGCAGAAATGCTTTTCAGTTCTCTGTGACATTTTTGTCCTCTCTTTTTTTTGACGGCCCGTGTGTGTCCCTGATTGGCTAATCCACCTGTCAATCACACCCATGTTAACGAAATTCACCAGAGAGCAGATTTGCATCTTCAGAAAGTATTTAAGTGTGTAGATCTCAGGACCAGGACTGAACCAGGTCTAAATCAGGACTTTACTCAACTAGGACCAGAATCAACCAGGACTGGCCCTAAACCAGAAGGGCTAACCACTCTGCCACTGTCTTTCAGATGAACATTATCGCTGGAGGTTTTTACGACGGTCTGATGCTCTACATTCACGCTCTGAACGAGTCCCTCACAGAACTCGCCAGAACTGGACCGAACCAGACCCACAGACGGGACCAGATCCACGGATTAGACCTGACCCACGAACCAGCGCGTCCCGGAGGACAGGAGGTGACCCGGAGGATGTGGAACCGCACCTACTACGGTTTGTGTCAGATGCCCTCCCGTCCTCTCCCCGTGTGTCAGATGCCCTCCCGTCCCCTCCCCGTGTGTCAGATGCCCTCCCGTCCCCTCCCCGTGTGTCAGATGCCCTCCCGTCCCCTCCCCGTGTGTCAGATGCCCTCCCGTCCTTCTGTGTATGGGTTTCAGTGTGGAGGAGTTTATTCATCTTTCAGAAAATATATTATATTTGGTTTGAAGTTATTATTTGCTATGGCAAGAGTGTGTTTAAAGAGCAGATGATGTTTTCATGTTGTTCTAATTGTGACTTGGTACCGGAGCTAAAATATGTATCATCATTTTACATCAGTCAAGTGACACTTTGTTGAACAAATAGTATACAAGGAAAGTACAAAAATACAGGAAGTGTGCGTGAGCTGGAAAACAGAATCCCTCTGCTTATGTCATCAACTGGAACACTCCATCCAAAATGCCAAGAGTTTACACACAAGGAAGGACTTCTTCTGACACGTGAAACCTTCATTTCACTAATTAAAGCTGTGCTCTTGTATTTCTATCAGCCTAATCACATCTGTTGTACCATTTAGACACGTCTGGTCCTTGTTTATATTATGCTTATAATAGTTACTGACCCAGGAACCAGGACTAAACCAAGACTAAACCAGGACTGAACCAGGACTAATGCAGAACTGATCCAGGACTGAACCAGGACTGAACCAGGACTGAACCAGGACTGAACCAGGACTTAACCAGGACTAAACCAGGACTAAACCAGGACTAAACCAGGACTGAACCAGGACTGAACCAAGAATAAAGCAGAACTAAACCAGGACTGAACCAGGACTATGTAGTGTTGTAGTACTCGAAATTGGTCTTGAAACCGGCCTCAAGACTGTTTTTTTATGGTCTTTTTTACGGTCTTGATCTCGTCTCGAACCCAAGCACGTTTGGACTTTGGCTGGTCTCGGTCTTGATGGTGCTTTGTCTCTTTAAAAGTTTTGGTCTTGTCTCGGTCTCGGCTTTCAGAGGTCTTGGTCTTGTCCTGGTTTTAGGACCCTGTAGTCTCGGACTGGTCTTGGTCTTGTTTACTGACTTTACTGACTACAACACTAGAATTATGTGTGGTCACCTGTTACGTGCTCTTCCACTGGGCTGGGGGCAGGTGCTGGGGGCAGGTGTTGGGGGCAGGTGTTGGGGGCAGGTGCTGGGGGCAGGTGCTGGGGCAGGTGCTGGGGGCAGGTGCTGGGGGCAGGTGTTGGGGGCAGGTGCTCTGGGTCTCTGGAGCGTTGATGGTCCTGGGTTCAGACTTTTGGCGCATGTTTCTTTGTGTGCTTTAATAACAGTGTTTGAGCTGATGGAGGCACTTGTGAGCGCGTGCGGACGGATCGATCTGGAGAGGATCATTGTGCTTCTTTGTGCAGTAGAAATCCCATTGATCACAGGAGCACTTCTGTACAGACAGACAGGGACCAGGGCCAAGTAGCATGTCACTGCAGATCATAAAACAGGATCTTCTGTTTAAGCAGGACTGAACTCTCACATATTTGGGACATAAATGTGAATAATGGAAGGATTACATTTCACATTCGATACAAAATTTTAAAGGTTACAGAAAAAGATGATTTAGTATTAGACTGAAGATCAGATACAGAAAACTGGCATCAAAATGTGCCTGGCAAGTCCAGACTGAACTCTCTGTGTATTTTTACATAGATTCATATCAGTCTCTACGTCTCGAGCCAGAACCAGACACCAGCGTCCAATCAGATTAGTTTATTTCAGTGACACATGTGAAACAGAGAACAGCTTATTGGTCACCAAACCAGCACTGAACTAGGTACTAAAGCAGAACTGAACCAGGACTGAACCAGGTACTAAAGCAGGACTAAAGCAAAACTGAAGCAGGACTATGTCAGGGATTGAACCAAGACTGAACCAGGACTGAGCCAGGGACTAAACAAGGACTAAACCTTTTTCTTATTTCAGTGACACATGTGAAACACAGAAGCTCATTGGTCATCATGAAGAAGTGTCAGATGAAGAGTTTAGCACTTCGCTCACTGATTCTATATAAATCTGTCATGTTTGTCAGTCCTGTGATATGCAGCCATGTTTGTTTGGATACAGATGTGTCCCTGATTGGCTGATCCACCTGTCAATCACACTCTGAACTCGGGCAGAGTCACAGTAACCAGACTTAATTCTTTGTAAAGTGTTAGAGAAGTGTGTGTTCTGGATCCCAGACAAGGTAAAAATGCAGATGTTGCCTAATTTTGTGTGATAAAATGAATCAGTTGACAAACCCTGTGCTACGATTGTGTTACCTTCAGCACAGTGTTGAGGACTGTCATGTTTGGTGTGTGTAGGTGCTTCTTTAAGGGTGGATCTTCATGTAGGGACATAAAAAATGGGGGAAAAGGCATTTGAGAAAAATGCATTTCAGGTTAAATCTATACCTGCAGCTTGACTGAATAAGAAGAAATAATAAAGCCTGAGTGATCTGAGTGATGTTCTGATGTTCTGACATAATCCATCAGTGTGGATTCTAGGACTGTTCTACACTCTGTGCTTCACTGGCTCTGACCAACAAACCTACATCAAATAACCATGTGAGTCCCCAGAACTGAGCTCAGACCAAGTCCAGACCAAGTCCAGACCAAGTCCAGACCAAGTCCAGACCAAGTTCTCAGTCCAGTCTGGGGTTTCCTTTGGCCCTGGTCCTATCTCACTCTGCACCAGTGCTACACACACTGTGTCAGAGGCCAAGAATGTACAGTATGTCCTGAAGGACTGAACCAGGACTGAACCAAGACTGAACCAAGACTGGACCAGGACTGAACCAAGACTGAACCAAGACTGAACCAAGACTGGACCAGGATTGAACCAGGCCTAAAGCAGGACTTAAGCAGGACTTAAACAGGACTTAAACAGGACTTAAACAGGACTTAAACAGGACTTAAACAGGACTTAAGCAGGACTTAAACAGGACTTAAGCAGGACTTAAACAGGACTACAGGAGTAAGATACTTGGTGCTGATATTGAACATTTTGGTGGATTTAGTGGAACCGATAAATTATCTGTTCAGCCTATATTCCATTTTAGTCTCTTAGAGTAGTAAGATGATTTACTGGCCAATATTGGCCCAAAATGTCTCATAATGTTAAAGTTGTATTTTTACAAAGCTGTTCTAACAGTTGCAAAACACATTTGGATCATTTTTTCCTCATGCTGTTTGTGTTTAAATATTCAATAAATGATTCAGTCTCTGTCCTGGAATCAGCTGATATCGGGTATCACAGATACTTCAAGCCAAAGTCTGGACTTTGGCTTTAAGCAGGACTGAAGCAGGATCAGACCTAAAGTGGGCCAAAGTTCAGTCTCTGTACTGTACATGTGTGTTACAATGTGCTCATGTCTGCAGCCAAACACACTGATGTAAAACTACATGTGGTTTGAATTTGTGCTCAGAGCAGCTCCTCTTTGGTCTGAAACCAGATCTGAACCAGAACTGAACCAGGACTGAACCAGGACTGAACCAGGACTGAACCAGGAGAGCGAGGCAGAGGGGAGAAAACGAGGAGATTTTTTTTTTTTTTCTGTCGGGTTCACTTCATCATGTAATTTCTTCTTTAAAAACAAAACACAACACTCTGTTCCACCTTGTGACATCATCAGATGGTAATCCAGAAAACTACAGATTACAAATTTGCAGCTCTTGTTTTTCGCCTCATTTGAACTGCTTCACTCCTCAGTGCAGCTACAGCTGGAGTCCGTGCGCCCTCTGCTGGTGAAACAGAGCAGGGCGTGTGCAGTTGTGTTTTGTGGCTCTAAATTTAAACCCAGTGGAGGATCCAGATGTTTCCTCACTCACAGGAAGTGACTGTGCCCTTAGCGTTAGCATTTCCCCTGTTTACTTCCTGTTAGCATGTCCTGGGTTAGCCTAGTGTCCTGTCGCTGGCTTTTTCTTTCTGACACAATCTGAGTCTTAATAATAATAATAATAATAATAATAATAATAATAATAATAATAATAATAGTGATGTAAAGAATCAGTACGGCTCTTTGTTGTTTTTTACATTTTATTGCTTTCAAAAGTATTAAAAATCAGATACAGATCAATACTCGCTCGAGTACTGAAACTAGATTAGAAGACATTTTCAACATTCAACATCCAGTTGGATCAATCAGATTGTGAGTGTGTGAGATTGTGTATTCTGTCAGTCGTAATGTGAGGAATTTCTGACACTGCTGCAGTTTTCTGCTTTATTGTCGTTCACAAACAAGGATCTTGGTATTTTAGCAAAACAAACACACACACACACACACACAGACACAGACATACACACACACAGACACACACACACACACACACACACACACACAGACACACACACACACACACACACACAGACACAGACATACACACACACAGACACACACACACACACACACACACACACACACACACACACACACACACACACAGACACAGACACACACACACAGACACACACACACACAGACACAGACATACACACACAGACACACACACACACAGACACACACACAGACACACACGCACACACACACACACACACAGACACACACACACACACAGACACACACACACACACACACAGACACACACCACACAGACATACACACACAGACACACACGCACACACACACACACACACACACAGACACACACACACACACAGACACACACACACACACACACAGACACACACACACACACACACACAGACACACACACACACAGACACAGACACACACACACAGACACACACGCACACACACACACACACACACACACACACACAGACACACACAGACACACACACACACAGACACACACACACACAGACACACACACACAGACACACACGCACACACACACACACACACACGCAGACACACGCAGACACACACACACGCACAGACACACACACACAGACACACGCAGACACACATGCACACGCACGCACACACACACGCACACA